TTATAAATGGCACTGAAGGGCCACACACCAGGCAACAGGGCCCCAAAGGCAGCAGCCAGAAGTGAAGCAAGGTCCCATTTCTAAAAACGACCAAAGAAAAAGAAACCCTTTTAAGTCACCTTCAAATCCCACTTGTCTCTCAAACCAAACTACAACCTCCTGAAGGGTAGGACCAGCTTGGTCAAAGAGCTTCTAACCCAAGAGCCTAACCCAGGCCTTCAGCATATAACACAAAAAGCCTTGCTGATCTCTGTGCACTTGGCAAAAGGGGTAGAATGCTCACCTCCCGTATGCTGAAGGCCTGGGTTCAATTCTCAGCCAATGCACTTCATGTGCAGCTACCACTCATCTGTCAGTGGAGACGTGCATGTTGCTACAACACTGAACAGGTTTCAGCAGAACTTCCAGACTCAGACAGACTAGGAAGAAAGGTCTGGTGGCCTACTGCCAAAAAATCATCCAGTGAAAACCTTCTGGGTCACAATGATCCAATCACCAACCAGTAATGGGGGTGACTGAGCCCCAGGCAGTGTTTCATTCTGTTGTAAATAAAGTCACCATGAGTCAGGGCCCATCTGGAAGGCAACTAACACAGCCCTCACTGGTAGGCTCTGAACATATGAGAGCAGTTCTACTCTGCTGAGGGTCTCTATGAACTGGCATCCACTTGAAGGTTCATGCACTGGGGGTGGGCCCCGAGTATGAATTCTTTGTTCCTGGGTATCATGTGGCACTAAAATTTACCTCCACGGGCAAACTACAAACTCCATGAGAGTAGGAACATACGCTACATCTTCCTAAACTCTGGCTTTAAAACTTTCTGTTGTGATTTGAGTGAAAGTTTACAAAGCAAATTCACTTTCTGGCTCCCACATTTCATTTAGGCCCTGAAGAAATGTTACTTTAATAAGACCTTCTCTGACCATCCTTGTCAAAAGACCACTTCCTAGACTCCCTATTCCCCTCCCGCCTTACTGTTCTACAAAGTACATATCACTATGGCATAATATTTCTTTTTAGTCTTCTCCTTCTAAAAGATAAGATCTTCAAAGGCATAGTCACTTCTGTCTTGGTTACTACTGAGTCTCCATTGTCCATGACAGTGTATGATACATAGAGGATATTCAATGCTAATCACATCTGTTGAATAACTCCATGAAGTCTGACAAAGGTTATGAATTGAGCAGAGAGTCAGGCAGATGGAACAGGCAGGCTTCCCACAGCCTGACAGCTGAGGACCTCACATCAGGGATCCTGGTCCTGGCCACACATTCAAATCACCTAGGGAGTTTCTAAAACATTCAACACCCAGGCCCCACCCCTAACACACTGATACAATTGGTTTGGCATGAGACTTGGAAGCTGGAATTTATTTTTTTTTTTTTAAGTTTCTAAAGCTCCCAGGGGATTCTCAAATGCAGCCAGAGCACCTTAGGGGACATCTAGGCTAAGAGAAAGAGGGTCTTGCAAGAGAGACAGAGAGACACCCCACCTGAGGGCCATACACTTTCTCCACACCTCCATCTATCCTCACACCTTCTGGAACCTGACTTCCAGTGCCCACCTTCCTGAAACCAGATCAAGCCGGAAGATGAACAAAGAGCTCTGTGGGGTGAGGAGAGGTCCTTCTGAGCCTACTCCCTTGATCAGTCAGGCTGTAAGCTTAAGAGTCATCCTCACCTCCCCATCCCACTCCACTGTTAAAGGCCTTTGGGCACTCAAGGGTCCCCACAGCCACTGGCCCAAGAGTCACTGTAAGTCCTTCACCTTTGAGCTGACACACAAGCCACTCCAGCACTAGCCTCTTGTGCCTCCCACCCAAGTGCAAGGCAGGGGCACCGGCCCCAAGGCACACTGTCTTGCTGAGAACAGGTAAGGACCTGCTTTCCCCAACTGGCTGGCAGTCTCAGCCTGCTCGAGGAGCCACTCTTCAAACCCCTCCCACCATCAGAGACCAGAGTTAATGTACAATCTTCAATAGGAGTTCAAATTATCCAGGCTGTTCTAACTGGCCTCCTCCGCTTCGTCCTGCATAAAAACCAAACCAGGACCAAAGGCTGTTCAGCCTTCTTCTCCCTCTCTAAGGCCCCTTCCCACCACCCCTGCCCATCACAGCCATCCCTGTCTTCAACAAATTCATTTCATCAATACTAGACACCTTCCAGGTTTCAGACACTGGGCTAGCCTGGGAACTCAGCCAACTCACCCTCCAGGACTTATGGATATGGACCCAAATAGACTCAATGAAGGTAGAGGGGGGCCAACAGTTGAATGTAGAAGATGGAGCAAAGAGAAAACCATTTAGAGAAATGCTTTTCACACTACCAAATCTGCAGGAAGTTTCACTGCTAACCTAAAGGGCACACAATCTTTTCCTGTGCAATTTACAGCCTCTGAAAACCAGCTAGAGGGTCAACTATGAGTCAGTTCTGATGCAACAGCAATGAGCTTGCATTTTGATTCAGTAGGACTGAGATGGGGATCTAGAGCTTACATTTCTTTTCTTTTTTTTTTTAAATATGGAACACTTCACTAATTTGTGTATCATCCTTGCACAGGGGTCATGTTAACCTCTGTATCGTTCCAATTTTAGTACATGTGCTGTCCAAGCGAGCACTAGAGCCTATATTCCTAACACGTTTCCAGACAATGCTGAGGCTACACTTGGAGTACGGATGACTCACAGTACTTAGAAATCATCCTAGCATACGTTCTAAGTTCAAAAAGCAGGAAGCACAGCTCCCATACATGCCCAAATCCCTTACGCCCAGTACAGTGTCAATGGAGGTGATGAGCAGACAAATAGAGTAATTAATTAGATCCTGGCAGTGGGCCCAGTGTCCAATGGGCCTACAGAGAGACCGCTCTGGCTAACTGTAAAACAACATTATTAGCAACAATGAGTTGTCTGCACAAAGCAGAGTGAATGTAAAAAGAAAAAGGGTTAATTCTGTCCTGAAAAGATCTCCCAAAAGAGGCAAGCCACACAGTACAAGGTCTCAGTGGGTGGAACAGATTTACCCAGGCAAAGAAGGCTGGAGGGCAGGGGCAACACAGGAGCAAAGGTAATGAGAAAGAGGACTGGATGGGCTCCAGGCATCAGTACTATAGTGGTGCAGCTAGTGCTTTAGCAAATGAACAAAGGGGATGAGAGTGGGAAATCCAGAAAACTCAGCAGGAGCCTACACATGCCCATGAAAGAATGTCAGTCTGGGAAGGTGGGTGTCCACCTGTTGCAAATCAGGAGATGCTGGAGGTTTCTGCACTGGAGGTCACTAGGTCCTGCTCCAAGATCAAAGTAAACTGGAGAGCCCAGCTTCCTGGGGCAGGAAGAGCAAAAAAAAAGATGGAGTTATGTTATGAGGTTATAAGGGAATCCCTTTTGAAAGGATGAGGCCTGTATGAGGCAAGTAAGAGGGAACAAAATTTTATGTTTTCTGATTCTGTTAAATCTCACAAGTACTTAGAAAGCACCCACTGTGTGTTCAGCTCTGTGATGATAAGAATCTCCTCTAAGCAATAGAGGAGATGGTCATTTCCCAAAAGCCTTCACTGCTGCTCAGACACTACATACAAAGGAAGGGGGCTTTCTACGTGCTTTGCAAACGCCCCATAGCCCTCTTTTATCTCTGTAGCATTATCAGAGGTGTTTGCTGTACACCTACAATGTGCAGGCCCTGGCTTCAGGCAGAACCCTGGAAGAAATTCACAGCACAGATGCTGACTTTAATGTGATCCTACCTCTATCCTTTGGAAAACTGAAAACACAGGAGAAGTCATGGGATGTGGGGGAGCAGGGTGGGGGTGTGAAGGATGGCAAGTGGCCAGGGGATTCCATATCTGAATGAAGAGGGGAATGGGTGAGGCTCAGATGAAGTCTAGATAAACTAGAATACCATGAGAATCCCCTGTTGACACAGCCAACCCTCCCACCCACATCCACTGTTGCCAGCAGGACTAAAGCTAAACCTGAAAGAACCATGAGCAAAACCAAGGGAGTCAAGCTGACTCTGATCTCCCAAGTTCAGGGTGAACTTGCAGGGTCCAGCTCCAGCCCTGGGCTTAGGGTGTCAGGGATGTCCTCCAAAGCCCCCAGAGATGACACACCGAATGACCTACTGACATCCAACTGAGTGGGGGGTCAGCAGAGAAGTATAGCTTCACCTTTATGGTTACCTGCACGTGGTAAAGATAAAACTTAACTGAAAACCAGGTAAAGGTATCAGGGTCTCCCTTCAGTTAACCCTGAAGGCACAGATGGTTCAATCCATCCAAATGTCCCTTTTAAGATCAATTCCTTCCCCCCCCCCTTTTTTTTTTAAATCCTCTCCTGCCTGTATGCTCTCTTCAGGCCTGGCCCTCTCTGAGAACATGAAATGATTCCCTGTTTGCCCAGCCCAGGCCCTGGGGGGTGGCGGCCAGAAGTAATTAATGTTTGTAAAGTGCTTGAGAGACCCTGGGACCCGGGACCCAGGGGCGCCAGAGTAGCTGTGCAGGAAATTGACGGAGGGAGGGGAGAAGGAGGAGGAGGGAGCCGGGACGCCTGTAAGGAGTTGAAAGGACGCTACTGAACGAGGGTGGGACCCAAAAAGTGCGCTGTGGGGAGAAGGTGCACCCTCGGAGGGGCCACAGGATTCGGAATGAGGATTCCGTAGCTCACCCGCTACAGACCCCAGAGATGGGGACGTCCAGGCCCTAGACGGTCCACCCACCCGCCCGCCCCTGGGACCACCTGCGGAGGAAGTCTATGTCCCTGCGCCCCTCAAAAGAAAGCAGAGGGTGGAGACTTCGCTGAGGGGGGCCTCCCGTCAGCTCCGGCGGGACGCCTATCTTCTACCTGAGCAAACATTGCACTTCCTTTCTCTAAAGGAGGCGAGCCATACGCCCCGCTCTTCGGGGACACCCGGGGCTGGGGAGCGGCGGAGGGAGGCACACAGCTGGCACCTGGGCCCACCGCGCCCCCTCTCCGCCCGCGCCCCCCGAGAACTCGGCTCACTCACCCTAAAGTGCTGATGAAGCCATTGACTGAGCCCTCGGCGTACAGGGAGACGATGTCTCCGATGTGGAGAAAGCTGGACATCTCGTTCATGGCTGCGGCCCTCCGGGGGCCCGGGGCGGCGGGGACGCCGGGGCGGACGCGGAGTCGGGTTCGGTGGAGGGACGGAGACGTGCGGGGGGCTGGAGGGGGCTGGGAAGAGCGCCCCCGCACCTCGGAGCCGGTCGCAGCGGGCTGGTGGCCCCGGGAGCGGGAGGCGGCGCGGCGCGGCCCGGGAGCCGGTGGCGGCGTCCGGGTGAGGAGGTGCCCGCGTCTCGGCGCGCCCGCCGCCCGCCCGGCCGGCCCAGCCCGCGCGTACCTGCAGCGCAGAGGGAGCAGGAAGTCTGGGGCCGCCACACACACATGCAAATCCCGCCCGGGAGGCGGGGAGGCCCCTCCCCGCCCCCCCTCCGCACCCAGTGGCGCCCCGCCCGCCGGCACCCATGTGCGCCAGCGCCCCCCCTGCGCCCCGCGTTCTTTGCGCGGCCGCCGCGAGGCCTCCAGAGCGCCGCTTGCCCTCCTGACCCCCGAAGACGCCTTGCGCGACTCCAGGGTGTCCCGGAGCTCCAGGGGGCGCCCCTTTGACGGACTCCCTTGGGCCGAGTTCCAGCTTCACCAAGTCCCCAAACAGAGCTGCATCCTCAGCGGGAGAGCCCGCGGTAACACAGGACCCTCTCTGCCCTCGGGATCCTTGAACTACAAACTAGTCCCCGGCTCTCGAGAGTCAGTGGGGACATATGTGGAAGGGGGCGTCCAGCACCTTCGCGGGCGCGCTGCGAGCCACACTCTGGGGACGCGGCCGCCACCGCGCCGTCTCTGCGCCCAGCTGAGAGCCGTCTCACGCCGAGTCGCGCGCTCATTCCTTCGCTGCGCGAATCGAGAATCATTTTTCTCTACGTGAAAAGTCTTTCCATTGCACAATAGAAAGTGTTCAGGCTTCGAGGGGAAATGAAGCAATGGGGTGGGTTTTGGTGGTTTTTTCTCTCTCCGCATTCTTGTGTACAAAGAGATCCAACTTCCGAAACAGTTCAGCCGCTCCCACTCCAGGAGTTGGCTCCAAAACTCTTGGCTCCTGTCTTTCCTTATAGAAAAAAGGTGCAGTGGCGGAGAGAGAGCTACTTTCGCGAGTTAATAGTGCATCTGAGTGCCAATAATGGCAAAAGCTGGTGCGGGAAGCGACCGGCTGGGGCGCCGCCGCCATCTCTTGCTGAAAAAGTCCTACTCTAGAGACTCGGGTCCCTGGCTCGTCAGCTTTCGGTTCTGTTCCCTGTTGCTTGGGTATTTGCTTCCAGTTCTTTCATTTAAACTGTTGGACTAGAGTGTCCACTGCTATCGGCACAAAATCACATACGATCCTTTCTGAACTTCCCCTGCCCCCTGCAGCCGACTTCCTGGAGTGGTGGTGGGGCTTGTCCCAGGAAGAAAGGGAGGAGGGGACTATGAGCAGGAAGGAGACCCTGGCAGGAATGGAGACAATTTAAGGGCAAAGAGGCCAATGCTGGCCCACTGAGAAGGGGAAAAATGTTCCTGGGTGTGACCTCTCACAAAGACCCTTACGATAAGGGAAGAGTGGGCACCTCCAGGATTGCTGAGTTCAGCGTTTCATGGCTATTTCTCACCAAGACTCAAAATGAGAATGTAAATTTTCCATCCATCAGACCACTCCACACCTTCAGCTATATATAAGCAAACAATAGTTGCATGAAACAATAGTTACCCTTATGACCTGTGATGCAGTCTGATATTTTCATTTCTATTTCAGTGTGGGCTTGGTTTGGTTTTTTTTAAATGCTGGTTGGCTCATTAAATTGTTTTCTTAAAATGGGCCAGATGAGTTGCAAACTGTACTCAGTGAAAACCTTAGCCAGCCCACTCTGCCAGAAAAGGTAAAACCCAAAGCCCAGAGAGGGAGAATCAAGCTTCAGGGTCACACACACATAGCAGTTCGTGATTACAGAAAGCCCTTTGTTCCCCCCAATGCTCTCTACCCAACACTGCGCTGAGGCAGCAGCTATCCAATCTTTGGCACACACTGTCCCAGGGTCAGCCCTTGGGACAATTTCACATGCTTCCAGGAATCCTGTCTTCCTAGATTAAGCAAAGAAACACCTTCACTCATTCTATAAGCATTTATCTGGGATCTACTATGTACAAATAGGGGGTTCTGGTAAGATGTGCTGCCAACCTGAAGGAAGGTAGTTCAAATCCACTAGCTGCTCTACAGGAGAAAGATGGGCAATCTCTTCTTGTGAGATTTACTGCCTCTGAAAACCCACAGAAGGGTCAGATATGGGTTGGTTCTCACTAGCTACTACTATTTACCAGGAGCTCTGGTGGCTCACTGGAGAGAAGTCCTGCATAGAGATGCCATTGCCAGCCTCCTGTCTTCTAGGTATTTTCTGGAACACACTGTCTATGCTCTGTTCCCAGAGGATCACCCCTGGGCAATCAGCCTCATCACCAGCTTCTGCCAAGTCGACTTTGCCTTAAACTCTTTTGTATATCAGGATTCTGAGTGCTTAAAGAAAAATTCGTTTGATTTAAAAAATATTCTTTAGGAAATTCTATAGCTCCAATGTGTTCACACCAGTGCTGTCCTGTTTGAAACCTCCCCATAGCCCACAAGATATGTATGCCCTCAGCTAGTACACCAGGCCTAGCGTGCCTGCCTCCCTGTCCCTGGTCCTCCCCATCGGTCCTTCTCACCCATGCACCCTCTACACACGGCAGAGGAACCACGCTGGGCACAGATCAAGAGCTCAGGCTCTGGTTCTCATAGGTCGGAGTTCAAATTCCAACCCAGCCACTTTCCAGTACCTAAAAGACACTTAACACGGAGCCAATGCCAGCTCACTATAATCCCATGCATGCCATAGAATTGCGTTCCATAAAGTAGTCAAAGGCTGGGATTTGTTTTGTTTTGTTTTTAGAAAACTATCATTAGATTTCTATTAGGAGTTACCTCTGGGTAGACTTGAACTTCCCAACTTTCAATTAGCAGTCAAGTATGTCAGCCATTTGCATCACCAAGGGCCTCCAGGTCTTAACCTTGAAACCCCTAAAATCTCTCTGCCTCTGTCTCTTTAGATCTGTTAACTGGAGAATAAAATAGTAGAAATGTGTGAGAGAAAAGCAAGGTCGAGCTCCTGGAACGAGTGCCACTCATTTAGGAAGAGTGTCCATTCTCTGTGCTACACCCTCATCCACCCTCATCTCTCTGTTTCCAGGGCTCACAGGGCACTTTCAACCACTTCCTCTTTTCTATTTCCACCACAAAAATAAATTTTCCTTCCCTGAGGTCCTAGAACACCTTTTTAAAAAGGGATTAAGATGATTTTTTTTTACAATAACAGAGAAAACTATAGTAAGTCCTCAATTTCCACCCTCAAACTCTGTCAAATTTTAACATCTTGACAAATTTCATATAATAACCTGAAAGCGATGGTAGCTTAGTGAGTAAGGAGTTGTACTGGCAACCCAAAGGCAAGAGCTTCGAATCTGCCAGCTGCTCCATGGGGAAAAAGATGGGTAATCTCCTGTTTGAGCTACAGTTTCTGAAAACACACTGGAGGGTCAGCTATGAGTTGATTCTGATTTAATGGTAATGAGTTGGGGGTGTGGTTTAACCTTGAAAGTGCAGTTACATTTCCTCCTATACCCCTCCGTGATTATACTCACTTTTCCTCCTCCTCTAGAGCTAACCAGTTTCCTAATTTGGGTAGGAGCATTTCAGGCAGATTTTTATACATACAGATTTATCTATAAACAATGCATGGTACCAGTTTTGCAAGGTTTTACACTGTATATAAATGGTATCATTCTGTGTGTATATCCTGACAGATGTGACTGGGATATGAAAAGCCATGCTCTGACCACATTATAATTACTTGTGCATTTGGTCAATATTAGAGCCCTATCAGTTTTTTCTATTATAATATTTCAGTAAGCCTCCCTGTGTCTTTGTGGCTATGTTTGAGCATTAACAAAGCACTGTTGTTCAAAATACGCTGTTGTCTGGATGCTATAAATGACACACCCAGATGCTATCCAAAAGGTTGTCAGTTCAAATTCACCCAAAGGTACCTAGAAAGAAAGGGGTGATGATCTATTTACCAAAAAAGTCATTGTTGTTACTATTAGGGGTCATCGAGTCAAGTACAACCCATTGTGACCCTTATGAACAAAAGATCTGAACCCAGTGCCATCCTTACCATCTCTGACATACATGGGCCTGTTGCTGCAGTAACTGTGTCAATCCATCTTGTTGAGGATTTCCCTCTGTTTCGCTGACCCTCCACCTTTCCAAGCGTGATATCCCTCTCCAAGGACTAACCTCTCCTAACAAAATGCTCAAAGTACGTGGCATAAAGCTTCGCCCCTAAGGAGTGCTCTGGCTGCACCTTGTCCAAAACATACCTGTTGGTCCTTTTGGCAATCTGTGGGATCTTCCATAATCTTCTCCAGCACCACAGTCAAAAGACATCAATTCTTCTGCCCACCATGGGATTATCATGAGTCAGAGTAAACTCAATAGCAACTGGATGTAAAGCATCATGAAATCAATTTAGCAGATAAAAAATAAGCATTTAAAAAATTAATTCAAAAAAACTAACACCATCAGGGCATTAGGTTAAATATGGTTTTTATTGTGGGTGTGCTATGCACGTATTCTGGGCCACAGAGCATTTCTTGTTGACGATCTCAATTAAAAAATCTGAAGAATTGTTTGGGAGTGAAAACTTAGAAAATGAAATCACTGGATCGTAAAGAAGGGCATCATCAACATTCTCGGGATTGCCGAATTACTCTCCGAAGTGTTTTAACTGAAGCTCTCACTGCGTCTGAGTGTTCTCTCTAAAACACTTCCTCTCCAATACTAAGTATTCTCGGGCTTCTTAGCATGTGATTCCCCACTATCAGAGACTACATCAAGGTCCTCTTGCCTTGTAATTTCCCTTTTTGCTTCCCCTGCTAGACTGTGAGGGAGCTCTGGCGGCCTGCTCCTTAAAGAGTTGCATGCAAAGATTGCAACTTTCTGGAGATTCAAAATCCAC